CATGCGATCGAAATATCTAGAATCATCTGATCTACACTTCTTTACCATAAAAGGTGCGATCTGCATTGTCCATTTTTAGTAATGTGCCTGACTGCACTTCGTTGACAATAATGTTAATGATAGGGTTTAAAGTTTTGCAAAAAAATGACACATACGTTAATTTCATCAATTTTTTTAGAAACACATTCGGAAATTGGTTCATTAACAGAAGATTTTAACTAACTTAAAACCTTTACCAAACCGAGAAAGATTATGAAATCGAAATGAAGGAAGTACTAGAAATGAATGAGCTTTTTTCTGAAAGCACATATCATATAGAAAATGATAAAGAAATGCCATATTTTAATAATCATGTTCTTATCCCGTTGCAAATTAAAAAGTTTCAAAAAATATTTTACCAAAGTACAATTAAAGAAAACAACGACGAACAAGAAATTAATGAAAAACTAACTGTTATATTAGATCAACAAGAGAAAGAAGCATTTACTAATAAACTTTGTACAATGGTCTGTTGTAAAACCAAAACATGTTTAACCAAAATCAACCATAAATCTGCATTTGAAAAATTTGATAATATTCGAAAATTAACAAAAGTTGAGCGCAATATGTTTTTATTAGGGATGCTTCATGCAATGATTCGTCCAAAAGAGATATTATGTAGTAAAGAAAAACAGTACATAACTGTTAAATATACGTTTGATGAAAATGAAATTTGTGAAAAGGCTTTTCAAATTATATATTCACTATCGAATAAAAAATGGGACACTATTCGTCAACATTATTATATAAATGGTACTAAACCTATTAGGAATGCGCTTTCAGGAAAAAAATCTAATAATGTTTTATCATTCACGATTGTTTTGAATGTTCTTACATTTATTGTCAATTTTGCAAACTGTCATGGATTGCCATCACCAGGTAAAATTATTATTTTACATATAATTTAATTATAGTGCTATGCCTTATGTCACACCTGAGGTCAAAAGTTTACAAATGCCACAGACGTTTATAGCTTCGGGTTATCATATTAGAAATATCAACTAGACTAAGATCTTTTGATGGTTATAATTTTAATTTTGGTCTTGCAAACAAAATTTGTAAAGGATTATGACCTGAATTTGCTTTTGGAGCTCTGAATCACTAATATTAGCAATTATTTTAGGACTGGGTGAAACCTGCACTGTGTAAATTAGTAAAATCCTTATATTAGAGTGAAATCTACGCTTAGTTATGTTTTTATTACCGTATCATCGTGAAATAACACCCCGGGGCGTTATTTCGTGATGATACGATATACAAAGGTGTATTTTTTATCCTTATGTGATTCAAATAGCTGATTTTACTAATTCACAATGCAAGCTTCACCCTGTTGTATTATTTTTATTAGGCTGGCATTTTCGAGAGGACACTATGGCTATTATATTTCTCCTCGCTAGCGAAAGTTATGTTGGATTATATCGCATTTATGAATCAAATTTAGATGAAAACTCTGATTATCATATTAGCCGATGGTCTTTTATGCGGATTTGAAAAAAATATGTACCAGAAATTCGTTTTTTATCTCCTAGAAGTGACCTGTGTATGCTTTGCAAAAATATGCGATTTAACACTCAATTTTGGACAGAAAGTGAGCGAGATGATAAGATTTACGAGTGAAATAGTCATATTGAATGGGCGAATCAAGAAAGAGAATATTATAAGTATGAAAGTTATTATTATTATTATTATTATTATTATCAATATAACTATTTTACTAAAATTAAATTTTTAGACAATGCATATTAAATACTAAACAACAGTTACAAAATTTTATCAGCTTATCTAAACTTTTACGTCCAGGAATACCGAATTCTTTAGAATTTGAAAACCACATTTTGTGGGACTTTGCGGAAGCCGTACACCTTCCATTTTCTTTGCAGCAAGAAGTATTTATTAATAAATATAGCTGATCCTCCATAAGTGTATTCTTTATAAGTGTATTTTCATGTGATTTTCCTTCTTAAATACACATTATGTGATCTAAATTTAATATCTGCAATAATATACTACTCATAATCGGTTGTTGCTTACTTTCCTGGAGTCTATTTTTCTGAAATACCATTTCACCAAAGACATAATACTGACAATCCATTTTACTAATAGAACAGAAATAGGTCTGTGTCATTTCACCGAATATCAATTAACTGGCAAGTTTATTTCATTGACAGTTGATTTAACCAGTAGTCATTTCACCGACAAAGGAATTCTGGCCATTGTCGTTAGAATCACATTTAGAATTAGAGAGTTAAGGTTAGTGTAATTTTTTAAAGAAACCAGTTGGTGAAATGAGCTGTTAGTGAAATAATCGTTAGTAAAATAAACTTATCAGTTATTAATTTTTGGCGAAATGACACAAACCTATTTCGGTCCTGCTAGTAAAATAGATTTTCGGTATTACAACTTCAGTTTCAAAAAAATGGATTTCGGGAAGTTAAGTTACTTTTTTTAACAAGTGCACTTATAAAAGGTTAACTTGATTACAATATCCACTATTAAAATATTTGGCTTTAAATTAATTTAATGATATATTTTTTAAGGGA